AAAATATATTATTTCCCACTATGGCGACAATCCTTTGCATGCTTTACTAGGAGGCAGCTGCACTGAACACAGTGGGACTTCCTTCTGATTAAACATGCATCAAATTGCATTGTGTGATAATTATGCAAGGTATAAAGCATTCTAAAATGCACTCCTATAGATTGCTTGTTACTATTTCCAACTTCTAGATCGGAACTGACTTGCCTAATGCTGCCCAGTTACAAAGCAGCAGGACTTGGATTCAAACCCAGATTTAAATTCAACATTGATCATTGGTTCGCTGACTAAAACGTGACCACGTTCAACAATGAAATCTCTTTTAAGCCAACAAAACTGAATGTCATATGCAGCAGTTTCTGCATACACAAAGTGGCATTCCCCCAGCCCAAGTAATCTATTCACATTCGCAAGGTGTGCCATTACAAAGATATCCTTGACATTTCTGATGTTTGTGAGCAGTATGGAAGTCGTAAGTGACTTTTTCAGCTACTGTTTCTTTCTGTCTTATTTACCCAAGAAGGAGCGAGCACTAAGGTGGTTTTTAGGTAGTTTGCTGCCAGAATTATCTACATTCTGGGGAAATATTGTTGCAGTTCAGCTCATTCTAGCTTCCCCTGCTTTATCCAACATCCCCTACTGCTTCGTGATACAGTATCATTGTGTCTCAGGTGAACCTGGTGTTAGGTCATCTGTGCCTACGATGCATGTCATGAATGAGGGACATAAATTGGTCCCAGCACACATTCCCTATGTTGCAAGTCATTCCCCTGCTGAATCCCTTCTGTGACCCTTGTATTTTGCTGGCCACGTGCATCTGAGCACAAAAGACTATGCTATGACAGATAATCAATACCATCAAAATGGGCACCTGTTTGGGAAAATGCAGGGCAAGCTGCATGCAATATGAACTTTATATATATGTAAAAACAATATTGGGAGAGCTCCCAACTTTGGTTTCAGATCACTTTGATTGTTCTATTTATGTGCAGTGGCTGTTGAAAATCCATAAATGCAGAAAAGAGTGGGTTGTGTTCTCTCATAAGGGAGAAAGCCTATCAAGATGCTGAAGGACTTGTGTTGGATAACCAGTAGAGCAATGCAACTATTGTGGGTATTTTGCAAATAATTTTTGGGTAGCCATTCTAGCACCAGCTGCATCTCACAGCAAGTAAACAAAATATTAGGATTATCAGATCCTAGATGGAATCCAGATGCCATTGACTGGACTGGACATGGTCTGGACAGAATGCTTGTCCCATTTGCTGGCAGGTTATTAGACTTAAAAATGCTGGAATTCTCTAGCTTAGAACATCTAATTTTATGTTTTCATGAAGATGATAAAATAACAGTATTTTAATATTCTTTTGGAAGCCGCCCAGAGTGGCTGGGGAAACCCAGCCAGATGGGCGGGGTATAAATAATAAATAATAATAATAATAATAATAATAATAATTCTAAATATAAGTAAAATGAACTTTTAAAACATTGCAGAAGCTACACCAAATAGTCATGTATGAAAATATATTTGTAAATTCAATTTGTAAATTGAATCAAGAAATTGTAAATTGTAAATTGCAACCTCATCCTGATCCAAACGTATGAATCTTATTTAATAGGTATCAGCTCACAACCTTTTATTTCTTTCTATTGATCAGATCTGGGTGCCTTTTAACAAAATAAACCAGAGCAAATCTTCCCTCCCCCCTTTACATAAAGATGTCTAGAGATGAAAGGCAACAATCATCTATGTATGTGTAGTCATTTGATGTTTTCTGATCTCTACTTCAGATTTTTATGGTCCCCATGGCCTTTGTTGTTTCAGTGCAGTCTACTACATTCTTTAAAATATCCCTTCTGTCAGGCGAAATATTTCCCAAATGAGGGAGGAGGGTTGTTTTTCTGCCACCATTGCCTTCTCAAGTCGTCATCCAGCAGAGCTTTTCCAAGTGGTGAATGGGCTTTTGTCATCTGGTTAAAAGAGTTTTGCTCGGAAGCCACTTGTGACAACTTTGCAAGGCGCTTCAGGCACAGAAGCAGTTTGGACAGAGTTGGATGCCACAGTCTAATGGGAGGCATCCAGAGTGGTACTGAGTTCCCTTAAAGAAGTACAGCTTCAGGCATGCTTGGGAGACTGTGATTACTTGTATTCATGTAGTCCGTCTTCAGGTCTAGCCATGGTACTGAAATTGCTGTGGTTGCTTTCCCTGATTGATTACATTTGTCAGGAAATGGGGAGGGGGGATGACTCTGCCTTTTCTCCTTGATCTTGTGGTGATTTTTGATACTGTTGGGTGTCTCAGAGAAGTGGGGGCTTGGCAGCAGTGTACTTTGGTGGTACCTCCTGGATCATGTTCAGAAAGTAGTTATGGGAGGCTATTGTTCAGCACCATGGGAGTGGTCCTGTTGTTTCCTGCAGGGTTCCATCTTGTTTCCTATGCTATATTATATTATATTATATTATATTATATTAATGTTATATTAGTGGGTGAAACCCATCTCTATATCACTGCTCCATCTGAATCAAGAGAGGCGGCCGATATGTTAGACCAGTGTCTGGAGTTGGCGATGAACTAGATGTGAGCCAGTAAATCCTGAAAAGACAGAGGTGTTAGGTGTCATGAGTTCTCATGTCCAGGAGGTGGGGAGATAGCATGTCCTAGATGGGGTTGCACACCCCTGGAAGGATCAGGCCCAAAACTTGGGTGTGATTCTTGATTCAGCCTTGTCACTTGAGGCTCAGGTAGCCTTGGTAACTAGGAGAGCTCCCCCCCCCCCCCAGCTCCTGCTGGTTCAGCAGTTCTGACCCCTTTTGAATGGATATGACTTGGCCAAAGTAGTCCATGCCTTGGTACCTTCCAGATGGGATTATTGCAATGCACCCATGTGGAGCTGGCCCATGAAAACTCGGAAAACTCAGCTCATCCCTGATGCTGTGACCAGATTACTGGCTGGGTTTCCTTTAAAACTCACATAATCCCTGTTTTAAAACAGCTGTATTGGCTGCCAGTTTGATTCTGGGCCCAATTATGTTTAAAGCCCTATTTGATTTAGGCCTCAAGTGTCTGAAAGACTGCCTCCTTCCCTGCATACACTTTTGGGTGTTAAGATTAGCATAAGTGGCCTTCTTGGTAGTTCCTCTGCCCTCAGCTGTTTTGAAGCAGTGGATGATAAATATTTTTTATTTATTTATGCCCTGCCCACCCAGCTGGGTTTCCCCAGCCACTCTGGCAGCTTACAGAACTAGGCTCTGCCTGCAAAAGTATGTCTGGCTCCTTCATTGTACAGCTTCCATCATTATGCCAAAGATGTACCTCTTTACCCTGGCCTTTGACATTTAAGGTATATATATATTAGGACCCACTCTGGTTATGATTGCAAGTTGTTTTAAACTGTTTTTAATACTGTATTTTATATTGCTGTCACCTCCCATGGATGGTTAATAAAGCTAATCATAATAATTACTTTGGAGGTGGCCAAGAGGAGGGATAATTGATGTAGTAGAGCAGTTCTGGAAACAATAAGAGCTACCAGCATTTTGAGACTTCAGACTTCCAGTACTGAAGAAAAGAAACCATGTATAACCAAAACTCTTTGTAGCAGTCCAGCAAGGCATAACAATGTCGTGGGGATTTGATCTATTTTAAAATGCAATAATTTCAAATACACACTGTGACACAGGTGAAAGAGAATTTTCCTGCATATATTCAATATCACTTCAATTAATTTCCTGTAGCTTTATCATATAGGTTGTAATAACTGATCGTGAAGTGACAAGATTACTCATAACGACAGCTATATCTAATCGCCAAAGAGAATGGTTGTGTCATCATATGTCACATTATGTCATTTTCTTTGGCCACAGTCCTGCCTTCCCTGTGGGGAGGTTTTCAGTGAAATTTCCAGTTGGATGTTAGATGCCATGACTTTCTGATCAATTAGCAAGGAGCAAAGGAGAATGAGTCAGTCTAGACCCCAGCTTTAGCCACTCCACACAAGGATTCTATTGGTTAATTCCCTCGATTCCTCACCATGAAGCACTCAGTGTGAGTGGCTAATGTGTGGAGTCTTTGAATAGCCTAGTTCAGCTTTCCTCTAACCTTGTGTGCTCCAGGTCTTTTGAAATAGAAAACCCATCAGCTCTAGTCAATGTGGCCCAAAGCTGATGGAAATTGTATTCCAAAATATCAGAAGAGCACCAGATTGGGGAAGACTAGTCTGGTGGTATGAATGGAGGTGTGCAATGTCATCACCTGGTACAGTATCTCATACTCTGCCCCTGCACACAGAGGGCAGGATTACTCTATACTATAGTGACACTTCACATAATGAAGCAGCTATGGCAAGCTTAACCTAAAAAAATCTACTTCTGTAATAGTTGAACTCTGATTTTAAATTTTTAACTGTATGGTTTTATTGTTGTAAGATGCTCTGATTTTTTAAAAAAATAAATAGTTCTATATAAATACTTTTTATAACTTACTTTAAAATGAGTAATTAGGAAATCAACTTAAATATGCTGGGCTGAAACCTGGGGCGGGGGGAGTGCTATCATAAATGAAAGCTTGTGTATAGTATCCTCTGGACCACATATCTCCAGCCTTTTAAGACCCAAGACCCACTTTTAAACCAAACATGCATTTAGAGACCCATTTCTTAATTTCTACCATATATTTTCATGGTGGTGATGCTCCTGTTGTGATTCACCTTGGATCATGGCACAACCCATTTGTGCATCCTGACCTGTCAATTGAAGATGAGATCTCTAGACCGATTGCCATTCTTAAATATCCAGTGTCACACCGCCATTGAAAGTTGCAAACTACCATCTTACAGTAGCTTTGTAGGCAAATACGGCAAAGTGAATGGAGATGCTAGCCTTTTAGGTTTTCTAACTGTAGTTCACTTTGTTTCATTTTCTTTTAATTTCAGTGCACCCATGCCATACTTGATTGGAGTTCACTTCAGTTTAATGGAGGTGAGTCAGGCTGCCTTTTCATTTCTCTATGCATTTGGTGCATGAGTGTATATATATATATATATATATATATATATATATATACACACACACACACACACACACACATATATATATATATATATATATATATATGGTTTGCTCTCCTACAACTTCCTCCTTTGTCCTGAAAAGTATTCAGAGTGAAAAAAAGTGAAGCTATCTTCAGCAGAAATTTGAAAAGTAACCCTGGCATTATTGCAGGAGATGAACTGGAAACGACTGTACGGAAAGTGGGTCCCTTCAGCGACATGTGCTTTTATTTGGTATCCTGTGTTGCTGGGAAATGGAATTAGATGGGGGATTCACATTTTCAGTTGCTTCAGTGTAGGAGTACATTTCTTCGGGTGAACCACCGAACCTATCCTGAATATTCCTCAGCCTGTTTTTGTCCTTCTTTTGTGGTCCTTTTCAGCATGGGCATTTGCTAGCACTGCAACGGTCACTTTGTACTCTGCACTTTTTTGCAGCATCTAGGCCTCTAATATGGAAGGGGAGGTAACTGGAAAAGAAAGAGAACCAGCTGCTTGCTACATGCTGTTATTGATTATATATTGCTTCTTAAAATATATAGCTAATAAGTGAATACTGATTTTTCAGATAGCTAGTGTTTGTGTGTGTACAACTTGTTGCTTGGTAACAGGTAAGTTACATGTGTGATTTTTTTCCTGGTATTTCATTCAGATATTATATAGCATGTTGTATATATGTATCTTTTAGGAAGTAATCTATGTCTTGGCAAGTTTGAAGAATTACACCTGTTATACAGCTTCCTTGGCAGGACTGGTGCTTATTTTGTTGTTTTAGCTGGAATATGATAGAACTTTTTCCTAAGGAATTTGAAAGCATCAGTCAGTTGCATGAACTTGAGTGAGATTCATCACAGGTGATTCATAACCCCCACCAAATGTACCTACCCTCTTATCCCAATTTGTCAGAAGGCAAAGAAAGTGCTCCAAGATGGCAGCAGTGAAGCTTTTTTTGCTTGTAGTTCAGTTAGTAACTGCAGTGGCCTGTGGGGCTGGGCAGATTCTTCAAAATCAACTTTTTTGGACTGGTCATGTTGTGCGGATGCCTGATTATCGTCTTCCAAAGCAACTACTCTATTCCAAACTTATAAATGGAAAGCGTAATGCTGGTAGTCAACAAAAGAGGTTCAAAGACTCTCTCAAGGCAAATCTTTAAAAATGTAGTATAAACACCGACAACTGGGAAACACTGGCCTGTAAGCGCTCCAGTTGGAGAACAGCCTTTACCAAAGGTATCATGGGCTTTGAAGACGCTCAAACTCAGGACAAAAGGGAGAAATGTGCTAAGAGGACGGCATGCTTGGCAAACCCTCACCGTGATTGACTCCCGCCCAGAAACCTAAGGATGTGTGGATCCAGAATTGGCCTCCACAGTCACTTACGGACTCACTATTAAAACCGTGTTCATGGAAGATAATCTTACTCGGCTATGAGTGATCACCAAAGCAGAAAGAAGAATTCAGTGGCATACTGTATCTGATCCTAGAGAACTATACAACCCCCATGATAAATAGCCTGATCCTCTATGCATTTGTTTAATCCCACTTTAAAGCCATGTAAGATAGCAGACATTTGCCATATCTTCTGGTGATTAATTCCATAAATTAATTTTGTGTTGTGTAAAGATTCTCTGCTGGCCCTTAGGACAAGAAGAAGCAGGCTAGGAAAAATATTGCCATATTTCTTTATGTTCCTACTCTGCTGAATCCCCAGTTACCAGTAGCATTTTACCTTATTAAAATAAGCAAATGATGCATTAAGATGCTTGTAACCAATTCTGTTTCCTTGTACAGAGAGTGAAAAGTAAATCACTGGAGGATGTGGTGATGCTAAACGTTGACACAAACACTTTGGAAACTCCATTTAATGACCTGAGCAACCTACCAAGTGAAGTGGTAAGCCTGAGAGGTTTCATTCGTTGGTTTTATCCTCTTAGCTGCTTGAATCGCTGACGTTTGTGCCTGCTTTTACTAGCTGAAATGAAAAGAATGCCCCTTCCCCCACAAAAATAACACTATGCCACCAGCTGTATATTTCCTATTTAAGAGTGTTTGGTGTGGTTTTTTTACCTGTTTTTGACAGTTGAGGACACGTTGAGTGGAGCATCATGCTTCGTATTGTAAATAAAAGAAAGAGAAAAAAGATAATTATAAAGCTAGCTGCATTCATTAGGCATAGCTGCTTTAAACGCAAGAGTCTCTTCATCTCATTTTAATCATTATATTACAAAGTAGGCATTTCTGTCTGCCTAGTGGCATAGCTTGCAAAAGAAGAAGAAGAAGAAGAAGAGTTTTTGAAGGCAAAAAGAAGAAGGGGGCCAATTATCGGCTTCTGGTTCCCTGCCACCTGCCAGCACATCTCCTTTTAATTAATGATCTGATGACACTGGTCAATATAATAAGAAATGCTTGTACAGTTGGGGTCAGAAAATGCACACTTTGATCTCATTCAACTTTCTGAAACATTTATTTGTTTTCTCTAAATTATTTCAGTTTTATTTTAATCTCTTCTATCCTGCTGAGGGCTGCATGAACTGAAAATCCTACTCTGTTTGTCATTTGCTTTGGCAGAGCAAAGACTGCTTACTTATAATTCTATTTGTAAATTAAACTGCAAACCCAGTTTGTCATAAAAGACATTGGATCCTTTTGAAAATGACGAAAACTGTCTTTTGTCTGTAAAGGAAGATAAATTAAATGCCAGTTCCTCCTGGACTTTGATCTTATAGAGATTTCCCCCTCCTGCTGCTTATAATGGAACATATTCTACATTTCATGTTAAATAAGATCTCTCCCCCCAAAAAAATAGCATTTTACTTTCCCTTGCTATCCTGCATCATGGTTCTGAAAAAAATGCTCAAATTATCATGTGTGCATTTTTGAGGCAGAATTTAGTAAAAGCTGTTGTTACATATCTAGATACTGGTAAATGTTCCATAATGAGAATGAAATAATAATCTATTATTCATAAAATGAGTGCTAGGTTTTATGTGCTTTTTAAGAAATATGCCACAGTTCAAGGCGATAGGACATTGAAGGCATTTTTATATTTTTATTTTCATTGTAAATTAATTTGAGACTACAAGTTATTTAGTTCCTGTATTAAATTATCATATACTTTCTGAAGTAATTAATCTTGACCAGAAGCAGATTAAATATTCAGCTGAATACATTTGTTCTTTGCTGTTGGGTGGGAGTGGGGGCAGAAAAAAGAAACAAAAATGGGTGTTTTCTCGACTGATTGTGGTGCTCAAATTATTTTTAGATGTATAACCCACCTTATCCACAAGTCTACTTATTCTCATAAATTTGAATCGTATTTTATTGTGCCAAAAACAAACCACTCATTCCTTAATCTTAATACATATATGTTGACCTTGCCGCCTGAATCACTGAAATGAAATTAGCTTATTAGACCCTGAAGCTAGAGTAGTTGCAAAGCGCATGCAGAGTTCTGAACACACAGGGGACTCTCAGTTCTCTTTTGTGAACAGCAGAATGCACTTTGCACCCAGTGGGGATTTCCCATTACATAGGGGTTTTTTTTGTGTGTCTATAGGTTACAACCTAGCTCTCTTTATGCTCACTAGTCAAAACTGGCTAGAGGGATTGTGTAAACTTATGCAAAATGATGGGTGAGTCACAACTTCATCATGCGAATTTTACAGTTTCCTTAATGACCATATCTTGGCTTGGCATGAGAGGAAACAACATTTCTTAGGCCCATTTTACACACGCCATAGTTACAACTAACAGTACTAATAGCAACTGAGTACAGTTTCTGCATCCCTGTATGCCTTTGTTTTCTAACTGAAAATATATATACAGAGATTTCCTAAAACAAGTACATCCAGTGGGGAGATGTCTGAGGCTTTTGAATAATCTCACCAAGATACCCTGGATTAAATATGGTACCTTAAGGTCCTTAGGTACTTCAAATGCCATATTTACTCAAGTCGAATGCACCATCAAATCTAATGAGCACCTCAATTCTCAGAACCTTGAAACCAAAAAAAGTATTTGCTGGCAAATGTACCGGTAAATGTGCCGTCGGATCTAATGCGCACCTTAATTTTCACAACACAATTTGGCCAAAAAAGGTGAGTGTTAGATTCAAGTAAATACGGGAACTCACTGAGCTCTTACATGAGCAGACTCGCTTTTTCACATGGTATGTGCATTGGATTCTTGTACCTCTCTGAATGGGGGCAAATAGTAAGTGAAAACACTTCAACCTTTTTGGATCAGTGTCTGCAACTACATGCAAGCCTACAAGCCTACAAGCTACTAATATTAATTAGGCTTTCTTGTATTCACTCAGTAAACAACAGGCTTTTTACAAAGGTGCTTCATTGTATAAAATATATAGCAAAATAAGGAAATACCTTATGTATACTCCATAATTCGATTCCATCCCTCTGCTAAAACAAAGTTTGTTTTGTTATTTGATATTTTTACTGTCCTGATCCCTTTCATTCTAACTCTACCATAAAAACCTTCCTCATGGAGCTAATTTGTTAATTAAAAACACATACAGGCATAGGCTATGTGCACTGTGCAGCCTCTACAGACTTTTTACTTGATAACCTGATAAACACTGTATTATTCAACAGTAAGAGTAAGTATTCATATGCCTGTATCAGTGGTGATAGTAAATTGCAACAATATTGTTGACATTCTATTGAGTAACCATAAGTCCAAAAAAACTGATGTCAAATTTTATAAGTATTTACACAATTATTTAATATACGGTAGATGTAAGTATATTCCTGCATATATGACATAAGGCTCATCATTTTATATTTGTAATCTGTCATTGCCAACTTTTATATTCAAAAAGATAAAAAAAAAAGAGTAGCAGTGAAGGCAACTGAAAAATGAAGGATAAACATATGAAGTTTTACTGCCATTGTCTAAAAACTAATTTAATTTTTTTTGGAAAAAAGATTTCCTTAAACAGCAATGTTCTCAAGTTAGAATGGCTTTTTAATCTTTTCAGTGATTTGTGATTCCACCCCCCCCATGAAGGCTAAAGCT